TTCTTGGCAAGTGTTTTTTCACTTGAGTTAGACAATTCTTCCCTATATTCGGACACACGTGCTTGTGACGTTCCTCATGCATGAGTGCCGAAGTCAATTGAAACAGTGTCTGACTCAAGTGAAAAACATTAATATGATATCGCTGATATCGCTCGGATGGGGTGGGGTTGGGCACCCCCACTTTCCTGCCCTGGCCCCCTGACTCTTCAGCCAAAATACAGCCACTGGGTACGAATTCAATCTGAAAACGACGTATTTCCTGAACCCTTTGAAGGTCCGGCCTAGCACTTCATCGCCATGGATGCCCAATATTATATTTCAGTTTCATCGATGATTTTGCTTTAAACTCTGTGCCCGACACCATCATTCGTATTGAGTGTTATGGATGTTTATGTTTTATTGTTAAAATGATATGCGATTGAAGCTGCTTCGTTGAGGAAAATAGAAGTGCCCTATAGGAGGTGGGCGATCACTGGGCATCATGTGGAATGAGCACGTGCTCTACGAGTTGGCGGATGCGACGTAACCAATAACAGATATCTTTGAGGAGATGTTACAAACTTCAGAGTAGCACGTGATAACCCAATGTTACACATTCTCGCTGAGATGGCTCGAGAAAGAGAGGGAAACAAATCATAGGCCCGTAATTCAAGGATTCAAGGAGAGGAGCAAGGAGGTGTTAATTAAAGCAAGATGGGTCATTTGAGGGCGTAGAGGCACCGATCAGGCCCAGAAGAGAGGGGAGCGAAAAGCTTCTTAAAAAAACTGGGCTTCACGTGCAAAGACTTAATTCACTTAATCACGTACCAGCTTTCCTATGAACTTCATTGTGGGTCCTAAGCCATGGCTAAACATATATGATATCTAACTTTGGATATTGGCACTATGTAAGCCCCATGACATGCTCTTAGGTGTAGGATGGCTGGAGCTGTAGTCCCACATTATTTTAGTTCTTCCAAGGGGAGGGCCCCTTAATACTGGTAATCCCCTCGAGTTGAAAGTTCTCAAAGGATGGTGGACGTCTCGTAGCAATACAAAACTATACAGATACCAACAAACTTAAAGTTTCCGGTCTCACGTTAAGTCTTCAAGCCATAAGTTTTACAGAATAACCCCTTAACCCATTTATATTTGTGATTAAGGCTTGGAATGAAAGTAAAATTTTGACAATTTGCTTCATTCTAAAGAAGGTCAGAAGGGAGGGAGTTGATATTTCATGGAATATCTAAAGAAGCCTTATAGACAGTTGGGGGAAAAGATGAGAAACACAATTAATGTTGCTGGTTTGCATGCAATGTAAAACTTAATCTGAGATTAGATTATTTCATGGAAAGGCCTTAGCATGTCATCATAATTGGATCCCATGATATCTTTTTCATTCTAGTTTGTGGGTATGGACCAAATTGAATGGTTACATTTGGCTTACTGTTCTTTGTTCTCTAAGATTGCTGGAAGACCCAATCAGATGAGGGATAGAGGAGGGATTCCACCTGTCAATGTTTTGTAGTTTTTTTATAATCAGTTGCTAAATAGAAACAACCCAGCAAACAAGGCTATGTTGGACCAGCGTTGTAACAATGTTCCAAATGTTTA